GCAGGCCTGGGGGTGGGAGGCGGCTCTGTCCAGGGCACAGAAGCTGAGTGTGGGCAGGGCTGAGACTTCACGAAGAGGGATGCTGGGCAGGCAGAAATGCCAGGTGACTGTGTGTACCAGGGCCAGAGGCGCAGAGAGGACAGCTTCAGCCATCCCAAGGGGGCTGACCAGCCCAGTCCAGTGGCCCTTGGGATGGCCCGCATGCATGGAGCTCAGGCGGCTGTAGAACTGGTGGACATTGGGTTTTCTGGAAGGGAGCAAGGACTTGGCTGTGCCCGGTGTGGGCTGGGTGCTTGGAGTACCCTGTAGTCAGAGTTGCATGTTATAAAACAACCCCAGCTGGGTAGCGGGAGATAGAGGAGTGGGTTGATGGGGGGGTCAGGGCCAGGAGTCCGTGAGGGGCAAGTGGGCTTTGGAAGACGGCACTGGGGGTGGATTTGAGAATGATTAGGACTTGGGAAGTGGTGGCAATGGGTGGTTCAAGTAGCAGCGTCTCGATTCCTGAGATCAGATCCTGGACAAGAGAAGGTCTGGAGGGCCTTTGGGGACACTCGGGTGACCTGGCAGCTCAAGCAAGCCTAAGGTGGACAATTTGAGTCCTGCCAGCGCAAGGCTAGGCCAAGAAGGCCCACAGGGACTGGGAGGAGGAGGCTGGGCTGTCCCCAGGTAACCGCTCTCTCCAGCCCAGGCTCCAAGCGGTCCTGTTTCCGCCTGCTCGCAGCCGCGGCTCTCCCAGGCTTGGCCACGCCCCTCCCCACCCCCGGCCACTGAGGAGGGCGGGGAGAGCCGGCCACGCTTCCTCTCCGGGGCCAGCCTCCGAGCAGCAGACGAGGGTGATCTGGCCCCGCAGATAACCCGCTCACAGGCCAGCCTGGCCACCAGAGCCGCCGTCACCATGAAGGACGAGGTAGCTCTTTTGGCCACCGTCACCCTCCTGGGCGTCCTGCTGCAAGGTGGGCTGGCTCCTGCTCGGGAGGTGGGTGGGCCTCGGACCCTGCGGTCTGCCTTCCTGCCTCCAGGCTCTGCGCAGGGTTGGGGGAGTGCTGGGAAGGCCAGGCCGAGGTGAGGGACAGCCCAGACTCCTGGTACTCGAGCTCTCCTGACCCCAGAGGAAGGGATGCTCCAGGGCTGAAGGCCTGGCACTTCCCTCAGTGGGAAGGGGAGAGGCCCTGGAGGGGTGTCAGTAGGGCAAACTGAAACTCTGGGCAGAGGTGCCTGACCTAGGGGATGGGCAAGGAAATGGAAAAAGGCTCCCGAGGGATGCCTGAGGTAGGCATGCGGGATGCCTGCCTTGGGGTTGGGGGTGGTCCCTTGACCAGCATAAAGAGCTTTGGAGGAGGGCAGGGCTTTCAGTGAGAAAGTGAGGCATCCAGCCGTGTTGGACCTGAGCAGGAGGGCAGGCTGCCAGCATGAATGGATGTTCTGATGGTGGGTGTAGAAGTGGGACAGCCAGCCACGGGCCTGAGGCAGCCCTACTCCAGATGACCCCTGCCCTCTCCAAGTGTCTCTTCGCTAGGTGTCCCAGTGGGAGGACCCCATCTCCTGGCCCTGCCTTCAAAGGCGCTCTCTTTATCCTGGAACCGTGTGAAGCTGGACAGGGTTGAAACCCCCCAGAGGTGCCTGCTGAGTGCTCTTTTCAGATTGGCCCTAGATCACACATTCCTGGGACCGACATGCCCCAGGACAAGACACAGCCTGAGGCAGGGGCCCTGGAGGGGCTGAACAGACAGACAGAGTTGATCTCCAGCCATGCCAGTGAGCTCACCCCTCAGGCCCTGCTCATGTAGACACGGGGCCGCCCTCCAGGCCCTACATGGTGCTGGCAAGGCCACCCTGGTATTTACAGTGCATTCAGGTTGGGCCCTACAGAAAGCCTGGCACCAAGAGCATCAGAGCCACAGAAGTTGCAGGAAACTAGTTGGAGGCACCCAGTACTGCAACTGTGTATGTGGTGGGCATCTGGCCTGAGACCAAGTAGAAGGGTTCCTGTGCACTCAGGCTCTCAAGAGTCGGCCCCCACTCTCTCTGTATCCATCGGTGTCGGAAGGCAGAGGGGCAGAGGCCGGTGGTTCAGAGTTGGACTAGGGGAGTCCCAGCTGTTAACCACCTGGGGGCAGAGGACAGGGTATCTAGACCCTGACTGAGGCAGGGTCCAGAGAGCCTGAACGGAGAAACTGAGGCAGGACTGGAACCACAGTTTGCAGGCACAGCAATCCAGGAGGTCCCTCCCGGTGAACTCTGTGGGTAGGGGAGCAGGGACGATGGCCACAAGGTGTGTGCTCCCTTGAATCTGGAAGGATGCAGCCAATGGTGGCTCAGTTGGTAAAGAACCTGCCTGCAATACAGGAGACCCGGGTCGGGAAGATCCCCTGGAGAAGGAAATGGCAACCCACTCCAGTATTCTTGCCTGGAAAATCCCTTGGACAAAGGAGTTTGGTGGGCTACAGTCCATGGGGTCTCAAAGAGTGGGACAGGACCGAGTGACGAACACTTTCACTGTCACTACCTTCAAGTGGGACTCCCAGTCCAAGGACGTGGGCCACAGTCCATGCCTAGAGGGTGGGAATTGGGTATCTGCTTGTGTTTTCCAAGTCAAACTAATTCAGGAGCAAAGTCCTTTTGATGGCAGGTGTCCTGTGACGTGTCATCCCTTCCTCCTACACTTACTGGGCTGGACAGGACCTCTCAGAGCCCCAGACCCACACCCAGCCCTTCCTATTGAGTGTCATGGACACCGGAGAAGAGCGGGGTCCGGCGGTCCTCTATGTTGGGCTTTAAAGGGGAGTCTCCACGAGCAGGGCGTGGAGCAGGGCGTGGAGCAGGGATCAGAGAAGATGTGCAGCCAGGCCGGGAGTCAGGGTGCCGAGTCTGACTCCTGCAACCCCTCTGTCCCCAGCCTACTTCTCTCTGCAGGTGATCTCGGCGCGCAGGGCCTTCCGCGTGTCGCCGCCGCTCACCACCGGCCCGCCGGAGTTCGAGCGCATCTACAGAGCCCAGTGAGCCGCGGTGGGAGGGCGTGGGGTGGGCAGCGAGGCAGCCCCCGGGCGGGCAGGCTCTGAGGGAGCCGGCCGGCGCCTTCATGCTGCCCCGCTCGCACCGCAGGGTGAACTGCAGCGAGTACTTCCCGCTGTTCCTCGCCACGCTCTGGGTGGCCGGCATCTTCTTTCACGAAGGTTTGGACGTGGGCTAGGGGCGCACGCATTGGAGCCTGGGGGTCCCCGCAGCGGCGGGCTCAGCTCAGCCGGCCTCGCCGTCCCCTCCCCTGCCCCAGGTGCGGCGGCGCTGTGTGGTCTGGTCTACCTGTTCGCGCGCCTCCGCTACTTCCAGGGCTACGCGCGCTCTGCGCAGCAAAGGTGAGAAGTGGGGCGGGGTGGCTCCCCGGAGGTCCGCCGGGGCAGGGCGGTGACGGCCGAGGCGCTAGCGGAGCGCGGGCGGGACCGGGCGGCTGGTTGGAGGCGGGTCCCTTTTGGGGTCCAGTGGGCGGGTTCCCGGTGGAGGCGGGCCGTGGGGTCTGGCTGGGTTCGGCGTCCTGCCCCGCCGCCGCTGAGCTCCACTCGCAGGCTGGCCCCGCTGTACGCGAGCGCGCGCGCGCTCTGGCTTCTCGTGGCCCTGGCGGCCCTTGGCCTGCTCGCCCACTTCCTCCCGGCCGTGCTGCGCGCCACGCTCCTTGGACAGCTCCAGAAACTGCTGCTGAGAGCCTGAGATGGAGGACGCCGGGACGACGGAGCAGCAGTTGAGCCGGAGCCTCCTCCAGTTTCTCATTAAATCGTCCATGACAGGACCCCGAGTGCACTCTTTCGGTCGAAATGGGTCGCGCAGTGCGGGTTATAGAGCCTGCAGGGGCCTAACTTCGGCCCGTAGCAGTTGAGTGGGCTGCCGGGCGAGGCGGGGCTGCGGAAGGCAAGAGGCCGCTCCTCCCCACCCCGCCGCCCCGCGGGAGCTCGATCGGTCCCGGGTCCTGTCCTGTTCCCAGACCCCAGAGGCACACGCCCGGGGCGCAGGCGCCCTTTCTCGCCAATGCTCACCCAGGGCTTCTCCCTGCGGTCAGTGTTTTCCTCGCCTGTCCCTCTTCTACGAATCCTGCCTCTCCGCTGACCCTCAGCCGCCCCGTTCCGTGTACCCTGGCCTTCACAGCCAACACAAGGGACTTTTTGGATCCGAACTGGGTTACTGGCATCTAGGTGGCACAGTGGTAAAGAATTCACCTGCTAATGCAGGAGACACAGGAAACATGGGTTCGATCCCTGGGTAGGGAAGATCCGCTGGAGGAGGAAATGGCAATCCACTCCACTATTCTTGCCTTGAAAATCCCATGGACAGAGGAGCGGAGTGGGATGGGGTCACCAGAGTCGGCCGCGGTTGAGCACAGGTGTTCCAGACAACCTGTTGCAGCCGGCAGAGCTGGGAAAGACGATGAATGTCAATTTGGTTGATTGGCGTGCTCTAATATTGTTGCCTGGAAAATTCCATGGACAGAAGAGCCTAGCGGTCTACAGTCCATGGGGTTGCAAAAACTCGGGCACGACTGAAGCAGCTTAGCACGCACACACAGGCGCTCTCCAGTAAACATCTGGGTGTCTTGGGGCCCAGATCTGGAAGGAATGCCCACCGGGAATAGTCCCTTAAAAGGTGGCTTTTAGCTGAGAATGGAGAGAAGAGGAATTGGGTTAACAGCAAAGGCACTGAGCCAGCTGAAAGCCCTAAAATGGGTCAGAGACCAGGGGCTGGAGCAGGGCCTTGGAAATGGGGGTCAGCAGGGTGAGACCCATGAATGCATGGGGTGTGGAGACGGGGTGTGCCTTTGGTGAGAGGAGGCTGCAGGCACTTTGAGAGCTATAATGGGTGCTAGGGGGAGTGCTCTGATGAAAGTCATCTAGGAAGTGTGGGGGGGACCCAGATTCCACACTAGCTTCATCAGTTACCTAGTTATCAAGCCGCCACTCCCAGGAAATGGAAGCTAGGTCAAGCTGAGCCCCGCTGCCAAGGCAGGATTAGAGGCGAACACGTCATTAACCCTTTATTACAAGGAACGCTCTTATAGAAGTATATGTGGACTTAACGTGAAAAAATCAAATGTATCCAAGAATAAAAAACACAGCACATAAAGTAGTATATGCATTCCAGTGTTCGCGCCAGAGACAGTGGTGCCCAGGAGAAAGCTCTTCTAAAACGGCCTGGCCCATGGGGGCCAGGAGGGAGCGGCTCTGGGCGGCGCGGCCGGCCTCAGGCACAGTGTAGGCGCCGCCTGCCTCTTCCCCGCGGCCGGCGGGCGGGGCAGCACCAGTTCCTGGGGCCTCCGGGCCAGCGGCCACCCCAGGCCGGCGGAGCACGGTCCCAGGCAGAACCCCGCAGACTGGGGCAGCCATGCCTGGCTCTCCGGGGGCTGCGGCAACATCTCAGGTCTCCTGGGCTTCAGGACCAGCTGAAATGCACCTTCATAAGTCTCAGCTTAGTCAGCCTTTTTCAGGAAAATCTGCAAGAACCAGGCTCAGTGTCAGCTGGGGTTTCGGAGAGAGCTGGGATTTAGCTGCTGGGTACAGCTCCCCATCCCCTGCCCCATGTCACCTCGCTCAGAATGACCCACACAGGTGAGTCTGTCTGGATGGAGAGGCGCAGTGCTTCCAGGGGGCCGAAAGCAGGATCCACTTCACCCTGTGCCACACCCTTGTAGAAGGAGCCTGGGGGAGCGCAGCAGTGAGAGGTGGCTGAGAGCCCTGCTCATCGGGCCTCACCCGCCTCCGCTGGGTGCCCTGCACTCACCTATCTGGAGGTAGCCGTCAGGGCTCCGGGGATACTGCAGGGTGACCGCATGGCCCTCCTGCAGGGCCTCCTTGTCTGACTGGGGGTTCTGGGGGCAAAATCGGGGGCTGAAGCCAGTGGCTGTGGGAGGGGCTGGCCTCCGTGCACACCCACCCCCCACCACACTCACATCAAAGGGCAACACCTCCACAGACGTGTTGAACAGCTTGTCCTCTGGGTGCTCGATGTTGCCACTACGGAAGAAGAACCTGCGGCCAGACAGGCCTGTGAGCTGCTGTAGGGGCGGGGCACCGCCTAGGCACGATACCCAGTAGACAACAGGCCAGGCCTGGGCCAGGAGAGCAGTCAGTGGTGAGGGGGTAACAGGAAGGAAGACCAGGGGTCCCCAAATGGAGGAAACAGGCTGCAGGGTTAGACATTTTTTTCCTTCTCTATACGAAATTAAAAGGAGGTAAAATCTATGTTGCCATGATGACACCTGGTTCCACCTGAACTTTTCTTAAACCATAAGCTAACCAATGTTTTTATGGAAATGGTTTTCTTAAGCTATGTTAATGAACTATGCATTTATCCTAGACTCTGTCTTTCTTCAAGTTGGCTCTGCTTAAGACTCAGAACCGACAAGGGCTCAACAAACCAGTGTGTTTTACTCATACATTGTTCTCCTCTTCTATGTTATGAAACTATAGATTTACTCGGAAACCTGCCTTTCTTCAAGATTCATGTCAATTGATTTATGGCCTGGGATGACTCACCTTGTGCCAATGTTATCTCAAAATGCATGTTGTGGATGAGGGGCCTGGTGCAGCTCTGAGTTTTGAGACCTCTCCTTTCTCTAATTAGCAGCCTGCTGGTAGGTCTACAACATACTGCTAAAGACTAGCAGGGGGCACTCTTTCTGCCCCCTTCTGATGTCTATGTCAGAAGCTTTCTCTATCTCTTTTATACTTTGATAAAACTTTATCACACAAAAGCTCTGAGTGATCAAGCCTGGTCACTAGCCTGGGATTGAATTCCTCTCCTCCAGAGGCCAAGAATCCCAGCATTTTTCAGGGCTCAGCAACAGCCTCTCAGTGGGCCCTGTGGTACTGGGCCAAGTTGGGCACCACCCAAAGCAGTCGCTGGACTATATAAGGCAACTAACTCATAAGGCTGATGGTGACAAGCTATGTCCCCAAGCTCCTCTGGGCGATGCTGGACTTGCCTTTATGAAGGAACTACTGTTCTTTTTGTCCTCACCACACACAGCTTATGGATCTTATTTCGCCAACCAGGGACTGAATCTGGGTCCACAGCAGTGAAAGCCTGAGTCTTTCCACTGGACCACCAGGGAATTCTGTAGCTACTGCTCTGAGCTACACTTTTGAGATAAGAAAACCTAACAATATTAAATAATCTGCTGGGGGATCACAGAGGGGAATCTGTAGGGTCAGAAATTTGTGGTGAGGCTTGAACTGCAGTAGCCACCCTCCCCCTCCCCCAAAGAGGATCTGTGGGTGCTGGCACTGACCGCTCCAGTCGCAGCGGCTGGAAGAAGCGAAAGCGGATGAAGTCCCCCGCAGAGGGTGTGAAGGCCCAGAAGAAATCCTCGTGCAAGTAGGCCTTCTCCAGGGTGAAATGCTGGTATGTCTTGAGGCTCGTGCTCACTTCTGCCGGCGGGTTCGCGTGCTCCATGCGCAGCGCGTGCTTCCCGAAGTCCCTGTCCTGCAGCGGCGGAGGGACAGAGTGCTCGGGTGGGCCTGCGCCTGCCCTGCCCCCTCCGGCCCAGCCTCAGCCCAGGCTCTGCTGTGCTCGACCAGGCTCCAGCGCGGCACTGCCCACCTTCAGTTTCTGGATCTTGCCCGCCAGTGAGGAGTGAGTACCCACGTGCTGGAAGAGGGACGGCTTGAAGCGGATCCGCAGGTTGGCCTTCTGCCGGTCACAATGCTTCTGTGGAGGGAGGGTGACACACTGGGGCTTAACTTAACTCCACCTCTGAAGACAGAAACTCCTCCAGCCAGCAACACACAGTCTCCTCCTGTCGGGGGCACGATCTCCAACACAGTCCCTGACGGAGGCTGCTTGCTCCACCGCCCCTGCCCGTCTCTGTGCAGGCCCTGCTCACCGCATCCTTCTCAGGGTTGCAGACCTTCACCCACAGAATGTGGTCCAGGAGCCAGTCAATGGGCTTGTCCCGGTAGAACATAAGGATGAACTCCACAATGACGCTCAGGTCCAGCGACTTGAACATCTTCCCTGAGGGTAGGAGCAGGGGAAAAGGGTGCTGAGAAGGCAGCTCTGCCCTGACCTACTTCCTCTTAATCGCTGTGGGGGACTCCGGGGAGGGTTCCACAGCAAAACCTTTGGCTGGCTGCAGGCAGGTGTGGGTAAGAAGAGGGTGGATGGGCTGGGGAGCCCAAACATCTTGATGCAGAGGGGCAGGAAGGAATAGGCCAGGTGGGGCTACAGCGGGCACTCTAGGAAAAGGCTCAGAGCCTGACCTGGGCTTGGGAACAGGGCAGGGGGCTGAGAGCTGATGACAGAGGCAGAAGTGGGCAGACAGAGGCAGAGATATTCTGGTCAGGCCAGTTGGGCAGGGAGGGGGCTGGCACACCAATGAAACCCAGCTGGGAGAACTCCAGGATCATCCAGTCTTCCGAGGGCTGCTGGAGTGCAAAGTTCTTCATGGTGCTCAGGTAGTTGGGCTTGGCTATGATGTCATCTTCCAGCTGCACAGTGGTGGGTAGGTAGAAGGGGGCCAGGACTCAGGATGGGCACAGGGAGGGCAGAGCTCACCACCCAGGCCCGTGCAGGGGGAAGGGGGACAGAGCAGGGTATCAGTGCTCACCTGCACATAGTAGATGCCTTTGGACTGTGCATACATCATGAGGAAGCAGTAATCAAGGTTCTGTTTGGTCCTCCACCTGTGGACCAGGGGCAGGGGCCTCAAGAGCTCAGACCCCTCCACCTCCAGTGTGGCCACCACATAGGCGACTGAGTGGGTAGCAGGCCCCCCTCCCCCATGCAGGGGTCCTCCAATGGAACAACGAAGGCACTGCAGAAAAGGACTTGGGACTCAAGACACCCACAGGCTCGGTTCCTTAGCACAGGTGGGCAGGTTGTTGGGGGCACAGGGAGAGGGATAGGACTAGTACCTGACTCTCTCCTTGGGGTCCCCAAAGGACTCTCGGAGGCGGGAGAAGTCAGGGTAGAAGTGGGGAGAAGGGGAGATGACTTCCAGGAGCCCAGAATGGATCTCCGTAGGGAACCTGGGGACAGGAAGGCCCAGTGAGTGCAGACTCCAGGGACCAGAGTGGGTCAGAGCTGAGCTAGCTAGGGCCCGTCCTTTCCTTAAAGCCCACCAGGCAGACATCCCCCAATACCACACGCATCCTACAGACACACACAGGCTTCAGAGGGGTTGGGCCATCTCTACACACCCACCCCCACAGCCAAGAAGGGGAGCACCCTTCCCCACAGATGGAAGGCGCCTGCCTGCCCAACACCTCACCAGCCATGCTGGGCTGGCAGTACTCACAAGGCCTTGATATTCTCTGTCACCAGCGAGGTATACTGTGGGTCAGTCTGCGGGAAGACCAAGTGCCCTCCCTGAGTCAGGTTGTCACCCCAAATGGCCTGGAAGAAAAGGCTGGGGGAAGGACACAGCTCTTTCTCCCACCGTCCTAAAGGCTAAGTAAGGCTGGGCCTAGTGACTCAGAAAAAGTGCCTCAGGAAAAGCCCTTCTAGATACCTGGGGCCAAGGGGTGGGGCGGACTATGTAACTTCACATCCTCAGGAGGGGAAAGTAAACTGTCTCTTTCCTTTTAATTTTTTACCGTGGCAAGTTTGTGAATGAAACCAACAACTGAACTTGTGAGTCTCTTCCTCTGAAACCCTGCAGTTTCCCTCTCCCTGCCCCTTTGTGTCGCATGCCCTGCACTGCGCCCCCCCCCCCGCCTGGCCCCGCCCACTCGCCTCAGCAATCAGCACCACGATGACCGAGTCCTCCTTCTCCTGCGGGCTCAGCTCCGAGATGAGTGAGTGCAGCGTGTCCGTCAGGTAGGAGTGCACCTCGCGCCGCACGCTGGGGATGCCCATCACCACCGACACTGCGGGGACGCGGAGGGTCGGCCCTGGGCACACGTGGGGATCGCCCCACCGCCCGCCTCTGGCCTCTCCTGGGCCCCCCTACCTCCGGTGCGGCCCTGGCCCACGCGCACGGCTGGCTGCAGGCTGCTTTCCTTGGCCAGCAGGTGTGGCAGGTGGTGGAAGACAGTGGGCAGGTGCAGCACATGCTTGTGCGAGACGTTCCACGGCTTCAGGCGTGGATCCTCTGGGTGGGTCGGGAAGGGGCAGGTCAGACAACAAGCTTAACCATCAGCTTCACGTCCCCACTGCGTCGCTCTCCCGCACCTCACCAGTTAGGCGGCCCCAGGTGCGATTGCTGTCTCCATCTCGCAGTGCCTGTCTCTCGGACATGGCCCTCTTGATCTCATCCAGCACCAGGTTGAGCTCCTTGGAGCGCTTGAGGCTCTCCTGCTCGGCTGCATGCAAGCGGTCACGCAGGGCCATGAACTCCCGCTGGTAGACGTCCACCACATCACCTGTGAGTGGTGTGCATGCTGTCACCAGGGGGCAGCCTAGAGCTGACCTGCTGCCCCGAGTGTGTCAGCACATGTATCTGTTCACGTCTGTTCACATGCTGCTACATGTGAGTCACATGGGCTTACATGAGAGTCACTCTGAAGTCACAGTGACACTCACACCTGCAGAAGAAAAGCCTCCACAGGGGGAATTAGCCCTCTCCAGGGCTCTCCCTTTATTTTCTCCAGAGGAGATGTCTGAAGTGGGAAGGCTGCAGGATCACTTCCAGGCCCAGGTGGGACAAACTAAGCTAGAGGTGGAAAAGCCTAGGACTGAATTCTCTCCTCCCAGTAGCTCTCACAGCCCCTTCCTGCTTCTCCTTGCAGCATCTCCTCCTTCCAGGAGGTAGGACATCCAAGGTGCCATCCAAGACCCATCTTCCTCAAGCAGTTCTGATGTTGAGGCCAGCCTTCCCCTGTTCCTTCTTTCAGCCTCTGCAGTTGGCTTCCCACCCCACTTCACAGAGATCACAGGCAGCCCCATCCCCAAAGCTCCCTGGGGACAGAAAACCTCCTGAACATCCCCTCCTATCCTCCAAGTAGGACCAAGCCCCGGACATTCTACACTAGACACCAGCTCTGGATTCATAATCTCACACAGTGGGGGGGCGGGGGGGGACGACACTGCTGCAGTTACAGCCCCCAGTGCTCAGAGGAGCAAATGAAGTTGAAAAACGAGTCACAGGTCTCTCAGCAAGGCAACAGCAGAGAGTGAACTCAAGCTCTCAATGCCCTGTGGCCTGCTTCTGTGAAGAGCTTTCCCAGGCCTATGCCATGCCACCCAGAGGAACCTGTATCAGACCCTCCAGCTGGGTCCCATCTGCAGGCTCTGAGGACATGGGCCTGAAGCAGCCCAGAGGTGGGACTGCCTGACGGTGGACAAGGAGCCCCAGGGTGCCAAGTACTCGGCTCCACTGGTCTGGCAGGGCCGAGCAATCAAGAATGACACAGAAACAACAGTGTTATCTGCTGCTGCTGCTGAGGCAGCCAGGTCCTGCCAGGCTGTTCACTCTCAAGGCCTTTTTGGATCTGGCTTTTGCCCTCTTTATTTGCTATCACACACACTGCCTTTTCCTCGTCTGACATCTATGCTTTCACACATGCTTGTTTCATCTGCCTGGGATTCCCTTTTCTCCTCTGTGCCTAATGAAAGCCCATGGAGCCTTCAAGGCCTTGGTGCAAAAATCTCCAAGTCTAGGAAGCCTTCTAGATTTCTCCCCTCTCATCCTCAGGCAGCTCTGATATTCCTTAATCCCTCAGGGGGATCACAACCCCCAGAATGCCCTGGGACGGTGTCACTTTGCCACAACCAGATACTCCAAAGGTCATGACCAAGGCAAAATTCGGTCATCCCAGGACACCCCCCTTTCTGTAGCTAGGGCAGAGGTCTAAGTGCTAAGTTCCGGAAAAAGAGAAAGGAGTAGCCCCTAGGACGGACAGAGAGGCTTGGGGGGGCGGTGGAGAGAAGAGCAGGGGAGCCAAGCAGACCCTTGATAAGGCACTCCAGAGTCAGACGCGTGCCCGTCTCCCTCCCCACATGCTGCCCCCGGGGCCAAAGGCCAGGCCGTGCAAGCTTCTGTGCTCAGGAGCAGCCCCACCGCGGCGGGAGTTAGGAGTCAGGCTACCAGATCTTTGAGGCTCTGCACTGGGTTCTGAGGCCAGGTTACCCCAGAAACCAGACCCTTCAAACAGGGAGCTGGCCACGCCCAGCGGCCAACAGGAAGGGTCACCGCGGAGCGCTGAGGCCCAGCAGGGTGTGGTTCAGAGCCGCCTGAGCAGGGAGGTGGCCTCCGTCCTGCACAGTCTCCACCTACTACCTACCGTCCCTGGTACCCACCCCAATGCTACTGGCTTACCCCAGGAAGCCCCCTGCAGCGGGGCCCTCTGTGAGGTGGAGGGAGCGTAAGGAGGCCTCACCCTCTGCCTGCTGCCCCTGCTCCCCCCACACACGGCCTTCTCTGATTTTTAAGTCAGCTGAGCTCTGTCCAACCTTAGCCTATCCTAGGTGGGCCCAGAGGTGGGCCCTGCTGACCTGAATCACCCTGACCACTGAGGCCTGGGCACAGCCTGCTTCCTACCCTGGTCCTCTTACCAGAAGCTTTCCTCCTTCCAAGTCCTGGGGGCAGCTGTGGTCACACTATTGGAGGCTTTCCTGCCCCTCCCTCTACCAGAAGGCAAAATAATCAAGATATCTGAGGCCTACAGACCACAAGCTTCCCTTTGGTTCCCTCCTCATTAAAGAAACAGATTTCAAGGTTGAAGCTGGGGCACAGACCTTGTGCCCTGTACTGAGGGATGGAAAAATAGGCTCAGAGAGGCACAGGCAGGTGCCAGGCCCAGTGAAGGGACGCTGTCAGCCTGCAGTGGGGCAGAAGCATGGAGATGGGGGCAGGTGTCCACCTCCTCTCCAGGATTTGCATCCACCCTCCCAGGGGTCAAGATGGGCATCCATCATTGCTGAAGTCTAAGAGAGGGGACAGCCTAGACACAGGGGAGGGCAGGGTGGCTGAGGCTAACCCCCTGGAGAGTCTGCTGCCTTCCCTGGGGACCTTGAGCAGGGCTATAACTGGAGCATTAGTGGAGCAGATGCACAAATTTTGTCAAGGCTGGATGTGAAAGTGAGCCTGAAACCTGCATCCAGGGTCCATCTTGCCAAGGCCTACCTGTCCTTCCTGGCCCTTGGCTTCCAGGATGCCACCTGCTCCTACTTTCCTTTCTCTCTGGCTCCCTGCCCACCTCTTCCCTTCCCTACAGATCTGGGTTCCTGTGCTTTTCCTCTAAGCATCCATGCCAGGGTGAGCCCTCTCCTGAGCTCCCTGTTCACTGCAAACTGGAAGCCAAGGTCCAGCCTGGTCTTAGAGTTAGTCTGGCTTCCCTGCAGGCTTAATACAGTCATCTGAATATAAAAATGAGAAAGGTTCATATAAGAGCCCAGACTCGGGCTTCTCTTCAGGCCTTCAAAGACCAGATCTTACTGGGCCCCCCAAAGAGTAGCAGCTCTCAGTAGGGAAGGCCCAGGTGACCCTCTTGTCACATGTCACAGGCTTCTGGGCTTTCAGGCCCCAGGGACAAGGACCCTGCATCTGAACCCCACTTCTTTGACCAGGCTCCTGGATGCTTCTTCCCTCAGGGAGCTGCTACTGCTGCTGCTAAGACGCTTCAGTCGTGTCCGACTCTTTGCAACCCCATGGGCCGTAGTCCGCCAGGCTCCTCTGTCCATGGGATTCTCCAGGCAAGAATACTGTAGTGGACTGCCATGCCCTTCTCCAAGAGATCTTCCCAACCCAGGGATCGAACCTGAATCTCTTAAGTCTCCTGCATTGGCAGGCAGGTTCTTTACCACTAGGGCCACCTGGGAAGCCCTAGGGAGAGTAGGCCTAAATGGAGCCAGGGGTATCGCCCTCAATCCCATGCTCCTGGATACTGTGGCTAGTCAGACTCACAGTCTGGTGTCTGGCACAGGTGGGGGTCTGACACTGCAATTCCTGACATCCAGCTGAGAGCATGTGGCTGTTGCAAGGGGCACCAGGAACTGTGGCCTAGCCCAGAACAGGGTGCAAGGGTTCATTACTTCACTCACAACTGCACAAATGTGCCCCAGCCCATCAGGTATGCCCCAGCCCAAGTCAGTCTGCCTACCTGGCCACTCTCCCAAGGGTCCAAAATGTCCTTCCCTAGGTGACACACCTCACCCACACAGCACTCTGCCCCAGCCATGCCCTTGCCTGGGTCATACACTCCACATACATAGATCTACAGAGAACTCTGCTCCAGCTGTGGCCTCCATGTACGAAGTCCTAGGGTTCTCCTTCCAGGCTTCTGGTGCCCCAAGGACAGCCCCAGCCTCCACCCAAACAGGGCTGGGCTGAGCTGGGCAGGCAGGAGCCAGGTGGGGACACGGGGACTTCGAGGGTCAGAAAGGCTCCCACTCCTCCTGCAGCCTCTGCTGGGGACAGGGAAGCAGGGGGTGCAAGGGAGGCTGAGGTCAGCAGCCTCAGCACGATCCTGCCTAGGCCTCCTGCAGGGAAAGCCAGAGGCAGGAAGGAAGCAGCTTTTCCTGCTGCCTCTGGTGCTGCAGGCTGGGTTGACAGAGGCCTGTGAGGGCCTCCTCAGCCTTGTGCCCTCAGCAAAGGCTCCACTCAGCCCCATCCATCCCAACCAACATGGAGCAACTCCAGCCAGTGCTGGGGTCTGCCCCCTCAGCCCGAAGTGTGCTAGCAGACTCGGAGGGCCATGGCGGTGGACTGGCTAGCTTCATCAAACTTCACGGGAGGTCACATAAAGTAAGTGAAGCGGTAGCCAGGTGGGCTGTTCCTGAGCCCCCAAAGCACCCCGCAGGCCAGCAGCCTGAGGAAGGCTCCCGCGGCGCCCGCATCCCCGCGGAGGAGTCCTGGGGCCAGACGTTCCGGAGGAGGGCTGCTGAGGCCCGGGGAGCCGCACGCGGAGCGGGCCGGGGTGGAGCGGTGGCGGCAGGTGACAGTGCCGCCTGGACGTCCGGCTGCCACTTCACGCGGCTCTCGGAAACGGGGCGTCCATGTGGCCCGGGGCCGGCGGGGCCGCCTCTGCCCCTGTGGCTCCCTTCCCTCTCTGAGAACTCTGAGGTCCCCCGCTCGCCAGAGAGGGCGACCCGCCCCAGCGCGGGCAAAACTCGCGGAGGCCAGTGCCGAGCGCCCGCCCGGCCCCCCGCCTCGAGGCCCAGCCCCGGCCCGAGAATTTCGTTACTCCGGCAGCAAACAAGTGGGGGCGCGGAGGGAGGGGCGTCCTCCCGCGCCGGAGGCCGGGCCGGGCCGGGCTGGGTTAGGCTTGGCGGCGAGAGCCGCGGCCCGGCCTGGATCCCGGGCCGCCGCGGAGTTGGCTGCGAAGGGCGGGGCGGCCGGGACTTAAAGGGGCCGCATCACCCGCTGCCGACACCGGTACGCGAGGGGCGGGGTGGGGGACGAACGCCCGGGATCGCGCCCGTCCGCCTCGCGGCGGCGGCCCCGCATGCGGCCTCAAACGTCCTGGACTTCGCGGGGTGCGGGTCGGGCGCCCTGGGCTCTGGTCTCAGGCAGGTCGAAGCAGGGGCCTTCCAGACTGTGCGGTCCGCTGTGGTGGCGGCTTGCGTCAGCCCTCCGACCCCTTCTCAGTAACGTTTTCCTTATGAACTTCCCCAACCCATGTTTGGACCTCAGTCGGGTTAACTGAGGACCCTCAGGCCCCTGTCCCAGGTCTGAGGGGTTTAGGCGGAAGTGAGACAGGCTGGGATCTGGAACCCTTAGCAGCGGTGCTGCACCTGGACAAAGGTCTTATGCAGCTACAAAACGCAAAGAAACTACAAGGGATTAAAAGTTACTGTGTGCGTGGGCAGTTGGGGCAAATTATGAACAAGATACAAAAAGACCAAAAACCCCAACTGCCACTTCTGAAGAGCCACGAGCAGAAACAGGGTACTGTGCATGTCTCTTGCACTTGGCCTGAAGGATGGGCAAACCGTTTAAGCCACCCCTCCTGACTAAGTCCTAGACACACCCCTTCCCTCACCCCATTTAAGGAACCAGGTTGTCCCCCCCACCTCAGTAGCCGGCAAGGGACCCGGTTACTCTCCCTCACTGCTGCAGCAGGAAGGACCCCAATAAAGCCTTGTCTGAATTTCTCGTCTCCCCTCTAAAGTCAACTTCTGTTGATTAAGGAAGGCCAAGAACCCAGATCAGTAGCAGGTTTTTGGCACCCAGCTTGGGACAGTTGTCCACTTCCCGGGGACGATCTGGGCGCCTGGGGGACCACCATTGGTGACAGGTGATCACCTGAGCCTCACTTTGTCCCACCTGGGGGCCTCCTTAAGGCAAAGCTTAACCCTACCTCTTTGTCTGTTTCCCCTCTTGTTACCTCTCTACTTCTTCCTCCTTTTCTACTCTGTTGTATCCTTCTGAGAGAGCGGACCTCCTGCAGCTAATCACTGCTCTCAGCCTGTGGCTGGCAACAGCTCACCTTGACAGGTGACAAACAGGTGGGAGAGGCTGGCCTCACACAGTGCAAGCCTCGGTCCAGTGGGCTCTCCCTAACGGGAGATTTAGGATAGCGAGCGAGGTTTAAACACATCATATAGGGGCTGGAAGGCCTATCCTCCCAGTATTCTCACCTTTATTTTCCTGCCTTTTTTTCCCTTCAGCCTTTCTGTGCTTCTTCCCTGTACCTCTCCCTTCATCCTTATATCTGCGGTCGCATCCCTGTTATCCTGAAAACTCGTTTGTGTCAAGCTCTGTCATTGGTACATGTTAAATAAGGATCTTCATCTTATGCAGTTTTGTCTGTCCAACTGTTCCTGCAAGTCTCTGCTAAAATTGTGGGCATGGTGGAACACTTAAGCCTTGAAATTCAAACACAGCCCACATTGCCTGAGACTCCAGCCTTGGGTTACTTAGATATTAAAGAGAAAAAAAAGGTGGGAGATGAACTTGCATTTCCCCCTCCTCTGCCTTTGCAATGTAACTGTTTTGCCTGGGCTCTCAGGAAACTTCTGATCCATTTGTAGTCCCCCAGACTGAGGAAAAGAAAAAGAGACATTTTATTTTTGTGGAATTACACACCTTTTTTTATTTACAGTGATGGTGCAGATGATCATGATGATGTAAGCTGCAAGTTGTACAGCGTTATGAAACAACATCTGTATATACTACAGAGCGATCACCACTGTAAGTTTAGTTAGCATCCATTGTTGGGAGCCGCCAGGACATGCCTGGGCCGTGACAAGGTCACGGAAGGAGACAGGAACCTGCAAGGCAGCTCTTCCCCTCGAGGTTGTCCCGGGGGCCGGTATGTCCCTTTCTTCCTTCTATCTTACTGTTGTTGGGCTTTCTATTAATTTTTGAAAATATAATATATAGTAATAAGGCCTCCCTGGAAAAGTCCAAGCCTTTTTGGAAATGTTCATGATTGCTCTGGCTCAGGACACGACCACAAACATCAAGTCAAAAAAGAAAAGGCCACAGGCATAGTTTGGCTGCTTGCTTAAAAGATTATAATGTTCTAGAATAGAAATGAGTAGAGGCATTTAGATTTGGAAGTAGATGTACTGCTTCAGTTTACTTGCCCCTTGGTTGAGAGGGTTTTCACTATTGCTATTTCTTTGCTGCTATTTGTTCATTGTTTCCCTTTCTTTAAACAACATGAGATATTATGGGTATTTTTGTAGAATTAGAAAATGGGGTACATAGGATTTCAGTAGAAGATTTATATTAACCAGCTTCACTGCCATTATCTCACTATTAATAGAGGTGTTTTGCTGCTTTAGAGGTGTTTTTGCTGTTTAATAGTTAATCATTGTAATTGAGATTTTGTGGTTTCAGGTAAAGAAAAATATCAAGGTTTTTCTCATGGTACTATTCTCAGAAATGTCAAACATGTTACTGTGACCCTTCCCATGTATTGTTTTATTATCCAAAGAATTTACACTATACCTGAGATTTGTACAACCTTGTTTTGTTAGAATGAAAATGTTAGGCCATTGAGGCAAGAAGACTATGTACGGGACATTTAAGAAAAAACCCTGTAATGGGAAACATTCTAGATGAATGCATAGGGGAGAAACATGGGAAAGAAAAATATTGATGGAAGCACAAACCAATATCTGATGTAATATGTGGTGACTTAAGGGGGAGGTAACGTTCATTCTATAAAAACTGAGCTATCCTAAAAATAAAAAAAAGCTACCTCTTCTACGTATCCTTCTGTGTGTGTCTGTCTTCTTCCTCGCCGATGCCTCTCATCCCTTGAGTATTCCTGGTCCTGCCGGGGCTGGACCTCAGCAATCCATCACCGTATTAGCTCCCCGCTTACCCAGCCCCTTGCCCTCTGGTAACCACTGCTGAGTTCTCTGCTGAGTTTGTTGCTCAGCAACAAACTGATTTCTCTCAACGAATCTTTGAGTTTGTTGCTGTTATATTATTTGTTTGTTGTTTTTGTTTTTATTCCACATGATTAAAATCATAGAATATGTGTCTTTCTCCTTATTTCACTTAATGTAAGACCCTGAGGTTCCATCCATGTTGTTACAAATTGCAAGATTTCATTCTTTTTTATCTTCTGAGAAGGAGATAACATCTCTTTATCCATTTATGCATGGATGCATACTTAGGTTACTTCCATATCTTGACTGTTGTAAATAATGCTGTAATGAACATAGGGGTGCATTTATCTTTTTGAATAAATATTTTAGTGTTAAAAAAGACCTGTTAAAATTCAAACAGGAAAACTAAAAGATCTCTGATTCTGTTGTCTGTCTTTATGTAAAAATTAACTTGTAAATGAACTGTATTTAGTTGGCTTAAAGGAAACTGAGCGCTTATATACATACTCAGAAATATAAAACTCATCAGAACACATTCCAGATTCATATGATCTGGGAGATAATCAATATTAAATTAATATTTGGTATTAGAGCTTGGTTTAAGCTTGTGGGCTTAATTAATACAGATCTGTCTTTAGAATCATGAACATTAAATATAATACTTTTATTGTACCTAGGGTTACTGGAAGTCAATAAGTGCATATTGTTTCTGTTATAAAATCTGTCAGCAGGGAAAATAACCTGATATGATTACATTTTTAAGTAAATGTTACGGAGGTAAGAGCTTTTTGGTAAACTCTATAGGAATAATTCTTTACCAGCTGAGCTACATGTTTTGGAAATATCCATCTAAAATAGGCTCTCCACATTTTGATAACTTGAAACAAAATTAAGTTAATTAGTAGGAATTCATTGAGGATCCAGACCATTTCAAATAAGATGAAATATTGGAACATTAATTGCTAAGCAGATCCAAATTTACTCCTTTCTACTTTTGTCTTATGAGAGGGAAACTAAAGATGTTTGAGTATATCAGACACATATCTTTGTAAAAAATTTATTTTAATTGGAGTCTAATTACTTTGCAATATTGTAGTGGTTTTGCCATACATTGACATGAATCCGCCATGGGTGTACACGTGTCCCCCATCCTGAATCCCCTCCCACCTCCCTCCCCATCCCATCCCTCAGGGTCGTCCCAGTGCACCGGCCCTGAGTGCCCTCAGACACATATCTTTTAGCACAGACTACATTAAGGGAAGAAATTGTGCTTTAGGAAGATGCATGTTTCTAGAGGTTATGGAATATCCCAATCAGGGAATGCTAATGTAAAAGATAGGTCATGGTTGCTTAAGCAAAGTAGGATGTGTGCTTTCAGTAAAAGAAGTTATGAGGCCTTGCGCTGGAACATGACGTCTCCCCCGCCCTCTTTGGAGATAGCCCCGCCCCCTTGCTTCTCCCGCCTTCGGAAGGGTTTCTGCCTTGGCATTTATCATGGACCGTCTGCCTCACCCTTGACACAACGTGCCCCTGGCACACTAACAGGCTCCTGAGGAACCCAGTTACGGAACTGAAGCATAGCAAATTCCATTGCACGAACAAGCGCTGTTTCCCACCGTCTAACGGGAGCGTGCACAGAGATGGACCGCCAGGGGGCGTTGATTGGCGCACAGCGTGACCTCCCCAAGCCCCGCCCCCGGCGGCGCCTTCTAAACACGTCCTTCCGCTCACTTCCTCCTCTTTTCTCCGCCATCCTGTGTGCGGTTGAGGTCTGTCCTCACCATGTCTTCTCACAAGACTTTCAGGATCAAGCGATTCCTGGCCAAGAAGCAAAAGCAGAATCGTCCCATTCCTCAATGGATTCGAATGAAAACTGGCAATAAAATTAGGTACAACTCCAAGAGAAGACATTGGAGAAGAACCAAGCTGGGTCTATAAGAAGCCTCCCATAAAAAGTGGCACACGTGTTAAGACCACTTATTTAAGCAGTCGTATCACAGTGAGAACATCACTACTGTAATGCTTGGCTCCTGATGTTTCTTATTTCCTCACTATCAGTCGAGACCAGTAATAAATATGATATGTGACGTTGGAACTGTTATTGTATTGGATGGTTTGTGATGACGTACTGAATAAATACTCCTGTCAGGACACAGGGCTGTCCAATGAGAGAAATGTTCTTTAGCTACCAAGTACTTAGAAGTACTAGTAAGTACTAAAAGCTAGTAAACTAGGAACTGGCTTTTTTAAAGTTTGTTGTCTTATTGTTCCCTATAAGTAGCAGCTCTTAAACCTGCTGTTACAGGAAGTACACGTATGTGTCATCCTTGTACCTGAACGCAGCATCTTTTTAAAATAAACTGTTGGGGCGGGGGATGCCTTGCCACAAGACATGCAGGATCTTAGTTCCCCAACCAGGGATTGAACCCACTCAGCTGCCAGGAAAGTCCCATAAAAAGCATGTTTATATGCTATTCTATGACGTGAACCAGGGTTTGGCAAACTGGTCTCCTACCTGTTTTTGCATGGTCTGTGAACTAAAGTTATGCATCTTTAAATGGTTGAAAAAATCAAATATTTTTGACATTTAACAAATTCAAGTTTACCTAAAAAAAAAAAGTTATGAGGAATAGAAATATATTTTGTCCTAGAGCTTGTTATTTCTTCTTTTTTAAATTAATTTTATTGGAATATAGTTGATTTACAATGTTGTGTTAGTTCCAGGTGTGCAGCAAAGTGAATCAGTTATACACATACATGTGTCCACTCTCAGATTTTTTTCCCATATAGGCCATTAGAGTATTGAGTTTAGAGTTCCTTGTGCTGTACAGTAGGTCCTTATTGATTATCTATTTTATAAATAATAATGCCTATTAAGTATTTTGATAGAGGCAAGCAGTCAGAGATTTCACAAAAACAGTGCTCTATAGCAGGGAAACCCAACCTCTAGGATCTAATGCTGGATGATCTGAGGTGGTGGTTGTTTAGTCGCTAAGTTGTGTCTGACTCTTTGACTGTAGTCCGCAAGGTTCCTCTGTTCATGGGCTTTTCCAAGCAAGAATACTGGAATTGGTTGCCATTTCTTTCTCCAAGCTTGTTATTTCTGACTGGAGAAAGAATAAGGGACAAACCCCATGATTCAAGCAGCTGCACCACCTTCATGCTTGGTCCTTGCTGGGGAAGAGCTGCCAGAGGCTAGAGAAAGCCTCAAGAGCCTATATTTCCCGCTGACTGCCAGCTCTCTTGCGCCCCTGGCAGTGCCAGAACCTAAAAAAAAAAAGTTATGAGGAATAGAAATATATTTTGTCCTAGAGCTTGTTATTTCTTCTTTTTTAAATTAATTTTATTGGAATATAGTTGATTTACAATGTTGTGTTAGTTCCAGGTGTGCAGCAAAGTGAATCAGTTATACACATACATGTGTCCACTCTCAGATTTTTTTCCCATATAGGCCATTAGAGTATTGAGTTTAGAGTTCCTTGTGCTGTACAGTAGGTCCTTATTGATTATCTATTTTATAAATAATAATGCCTGTTAAGTATTTTGATAGAGGCAAGCAGTCAGAGATTTCACAAAAACAGTGCTCTATAGCAGGGAAACCCAACCTCTAGGATCTAATGCTGGATGATCTGAGGTGGTGGTTGTTTAGTCGCTAAGTTGTGTCTGACTCTTTGACTGTAGTCCGCAAGGTTCCTCTGTTCATGGGCTTTTCCAAGCAAGAATACTGGAATTGGTTGCCATTTCTTTCTCCAAGCTTGTTATTTCTGACTGGAGAAAGAATAAGGGACAAACCCCATGATTCAAGCAGCTGCACCACCTTCATGCTTGATCCTTGCTGGGGAAAAGCTGCCAGAGGCTAGAGAAAGCCCCAAGAGCCTATATTTCCCGCTGACTGCCAGCTCTCTTGCGCCCCTGGCACTACCAGGGTCCCTGCAATCCAAGCAGCTGTGCCACCTCTGTATCTGGCCCTCACTGGGACACACCCAAGTCCTCCAGGGAAGCCTCTGGAGCAAACTCCTGTGGAACAACCCACATGCAGAGGTGAAGATAAGATCACAATTGAACCCCAGGGGCAGTGTGACTAAGGAAGAGGATGGAAAATCTTCCTACCAGCTGTACAAGCTGCAGATTAAATCCATATGGTCAACTAGGCAGACTCTGTATCTATGGAATATATAAATGAACAATAAGAGTTCCCATAACAGTAAACGCAGTAGCTCTGGCAACTGTGGGCACTGGAGAAAAGAATATACAGGAGCAGCACCAGATTAGAGCTGAGCTGTCCCCCCAGCAGGTCCAAAGACCAGCCCGGTGTTGGAGAGTATCCCTGGGAGGTGGAGGCGGACTGACTCACAACAAGGAGGAGGATGCTGACAGCTGAGATCTGAGAAAAACATTTATTATTACTCAGATTTTTATTTGTTCTGTGATTGATTCTGGACTTTTTTTTTCCTTCCTTTTTTTTTTTAACCCCCTCTGTTACTGTGGTTGTTGATTTTATTGTTACTATTAACTCTATTTAAGCTTTTGAGAATTTTTTTTTAAAAGTCACACTTTTTATTTCCTTTATATACTTCTACATTTGCCTTTTGCAGGTCTGTGTGTTTTTTTGTTTTCTTTTTTAAAATTTTTTAAAATTTATTTTTAATTTATTTTTTATGTTTTTCTTATTGTTCTTTTCCTGCTGTAGTTATCCTTTAATATACATAAATCTTTTTTACATACTTCTATTTAACTTTGCTTTTCTATTTTTTTTTCTTTTCTTCTTTTTCTTTCTTTTTTTTTCACCAAGTGTTTTCTTTTTTTTTGCTTTATCCCCCAGTTGGCATCTACTTTAGTTTTGTTTCCTGGTTGGTTTTTTAGTTAGTTTTGTTTTTATTTGGTCAATAACACTTTTGGCTTCCTTTACTTGCTGGCTCACTTTCTTGTACTTTCTTTTTTTTGGACTGTTTTGGTTTTGTTTGCGTATGTGTGTTCCATTGTTTTTGTTATTATTTGTCTGATTTTGTTTGTACCATTTGTATGGGATTTGTCTTTTGTTTCTTGTTTTGTTTTTAGTTTTTGTGTGTTTGTTTTAATTCCCTTTAATGCCATAACAAGCAACTTGTGGAATCTTGGTTCCCTGACCAGTGTTGGGCCTGAGCCTTTGGAGTGGAAGTGCTGAATTCAGGACCCTAGACTACCAGAGAACCCCTAACCCCAGGAAGTATTGATTAGTGAGAACTCAAACAAAGGTCTTCACCTGTATACAAGACCCAGAGTCATCCAACTGCTGGAAACACCCAGTGTAAGATGCCTCACCCAAACAACAAGCAAGACAAAAGCACAAATTCAGTCATCAACAGACAGGATTCCCACACACACCCCGAAACATGTCACCGAGCAGAACCCTGCCCAGCAGAGGGAAAAGAAACTCACCTCCTCCAGCAAGAATGCAGACACAAGTCCCTCCCAACACAAAGTCTACACAAACCACTGGACCAGCCTTACCCACTGAGGGCAGACGCCAAAAGGGAGAAGGAATATAACCTGAAAGCCTGGGAAAAGGAGACCTCAAGCACAGTAAATTAGGGAAAAAATGAAAAGACAAGTATTGCACAAATGAAGGAACAAGGTGGAAACTCACAAGACCAAATAAACAAAGAGGAAATAGGCAAACTACTTGAAAAAGAATTCAGAGTAATAATAGTAAAAATGATCCAAAACCTCAAAAATAGAATGGAGAAAATGCAAGAATCAATTAACACATTTAACAAGGACTTAGAAGAAATAAAGAATAAACAAACAGATGAACGACACAATTACTGAAATTAAAAATAAAAAGGATCAATAGTGGAATAACTGACGCAGAAGAATGTATAAATGAGCTGGAAGATAGAATTGTGGAAATAACTGCTGAAGAGCAGTATAAAGGAAAAATTAAGAATTGAGGATAGTCTTAGAGACCTCTGGGACAATATTAAAGACACCAACATTTGACTCACAGGGGTCCCAGAAGAAGAAGAGAAAAAGAAAGTGTCTAAGAGAAATTTTGAAGAGAATATAGTAAAAAACTTCCCTTATGTGGGAAAGGAAGTAGTCAATTAAGTCCAAGAAGTTCAGGGAGTCCCAAACAGGATAAACCGAAGGAGAAACATGCCCAGATACATAACTAATCAAACTAACAAAGATTAAACACAAAGAATATTAACAGCAGCAAGGGAAAATCAACAAGTAACATACAAATGAAACCGCATACAACCAGAAGAAACTCTGTAGGCCAGCCAGGAATGGCAGGATACATTTAAAGTACTGAAAGGGAAAAATCTACAACCAAGATTACTTTACCTGGCAAGGATTGCATTCAGAATTGATGGAGAAATCAAAAGCTTTACAGATAAGCAAAAGTTAAGAGAATTTAGCACCACCAAATCAGCTTTACAACAAATATTAAAGGGACTTCTATAGGTAGGAAGCACAAAAGAAGGAAAAGACCTACAAAGACAAACCCCACACAATTAAGAAAATGCCCATAGGAACGTAAGTGAAAAGTGAAAGTGTTAGTCACTCAGTCATGTCTGATTCTTTGCAACCCCGTGGACTGTGTAGTCCACCAGGCTCCTCCGTCCATGGGATTCTCCAGGCAAAAACACTGGAGCGGGTTGGCATTCCTTCCTCCTGGGGGTCTTCCCAACCTAGGGATCAAATCCTGGTCTCCTGCATTGTTGTCAGATATATATCAATGATCACTTTAAATGTAAGTGGATTAAATGCACCAGTCAAAAAACACAGACTGGCTGAATGGACACAAAAACAAGACCCGAATACATTGCTGTCTACAAGAAACCCACTTTAGACATAGAGATACATACAGACTCAAAGTTGAGAGGATGAAAAAAAGATATTCTATGCAAATAGAAATCAAAGCGGGAGTAGCAATAATCATATCAGGTAAAATAGACTTTAAAATAAAGACAAGAGATGGAAGGACACTACATAATGATCAAGGGGTCAATCCAAGAAGACATAACAACTGTAAATATTTATGCACCCAACATAGGAGCATCTCAATACATAAGACAGACACAATTACTGAAATTAAAAATAAAAAGGATC